TTAAGGGTTTCGGGTTTAGGGTTTAGGGTTTAGGGTTTCGGGCTTAGGGGTTTAGGATTCAGGGCTTAGGGGTTTGGGATTTAGGGTTTAAGGGGTTTAGGGTTTCGGGTTTAGGGGTTTAGGATTTAAAGCTTTCGGGTGTAGGGTTTAGGGTCTCGGACGGTCTGGGTGAGGTCTTCCGAACAGTCTTGGGCAGTAGTACCCTTTGGCACCAAGCTACCCTAAACCCTAAACCCTAAACCAATCTAGGGACTACTTTAAGGCCAAAGTAATATAATATCTGGGCACAGGGACCCTTAGGGTTTCCACTCTTCGATTTTTTTCTAGGACCTCGCCGGAAGAAAACCAAAACCCCAAAACCCTACACCTTCGACTCTAAACCCTAAATTAAATTACATCCTAAACCCTAAACCCTAAATCCTAAACCCCAAACCTAAAATCCTAAACCCCAAAGCCTAAACCCCAAAGCCTAAACCCTGAACCCTAAAGCCATCTTCCGACTCGAGCCTCTGGGCTCCGACTCCGACGCTCCGAAGTCTAGGCCTCCGAGCCGTCGCACCGCAGGCGATGATCACCGTGGCCACGAGAGCAGCCACTGCGGCAACCTACAAAGGGTGCTATTTGAGGGTTTCTATATGGTACCATAAGGGTTTAGGGTTTAGGGTTTAGGGTGTAGGGTTCAAGTCACTTATATGGGTAGTTCTGTAAATTAGGGTCCTTTTGGGTCCCCAAAATAGTACGGTACCCTTACAGCAAGAACCCGTAGGGGACCCTAATTTTTAGAGCTACCCATGTACTACCTCGAGACTCCAAAACCCCTCTCAAAACAATATACCTTAAATCATAGTAGGGATCCTGCTATAATTTGATCTATACTCCTTAATTAAGGGGTTTTGGGAGTCTGGGAGTCTTTGGGTAGTGGTGGTAGTAGTAGTAGTAGTAGTAATACGGTTGATGATACAAATCCTGCATTACCCGTAATAAGGAGTATCCCATAAATCAGATAGTTGAGGGCCCTTAAGGTAATGCAGGATTTATATCATCAACCGTAGTAGTAGTGATAGTAGTAGTAGTAGTAGTAGTAGTAGTAGTAGTAGTAGTAGAGCAGTATTTCATGGTAGCACTTTGGGATTGGCAAAGTAGCGCTTACTCATCAATAAATATCCAATCATCGGATTTGGCCTGAGGGTGTGGATGCCCCCCCTCCCCCGCATTTGCCCTGAACTAATCTACATCCTGCAACTTGAGAGCGCAGACACCGACATTGCATATGTACATAGAGACGAACAGTCACAACAGCTGAATGTAAGTATGTCGTGGTCCTGACCTACAGATTTCGGCACTGGGGCACCGTGCAATGAGCATGGAGAGGAAAACGGTCCGGACCTGCAGCGAAGTGGAATCGCTTCTGAGCTGTTCAGGTTTCAGCAGCCTTGCAGAAGCGTAGAAGGGATAGAATAGGGCTTTGGGGTATACTATACCATAAGTATGATAAAGAACCCCCCAAGATAGTATAGGTAAAGAGGGGGCACAGATTCCGAGTTCCCTGAGGCATCGCGCTGCTCCTTGCACAATCGACTTCGTGGGAGCTCGGGTCTCGCGATCGCATGCTCTCCCTTCAACACGTTTCGCACATGGAAGGGGGAAGCTCTGAAACCTGGCATCTTTTGGTACCTTATGGTACTTTATAGCATAGCCTGGTCTGTTTGTCGTATGTTATGGTATGTTTTAGCATGCTATGGTATATCATATCATACTATGTATATATTAGTATAGCAGCCTAAACCCTAAGCAGTATGAACAACAGAAGGCCGCCAGAGCCGAGCCCGAGGCACTGTTCAGGAGCAGCTCGACGAAGCGATTCACCTGCTCTCGCATCTGCTGCGCAGGGCGATGGAAGGCTTGGAAAGTGAAGCACTCCGTGTTATCTAGGGGCCGGAATGATTAGAATAGGTCTTTGGGGATATTATAATCAGTATTTTTACGACGTACGTGTCAATCTCGGATTCGGGGTAAAGGCAGGTCGCCTCCTCCACGCCTTTGAAGACCCGAAAGAGTCGCAGCAGCCGGAGCAAGCGCAGGGTTCGCAGGACCTAACAGGCGGAAAGGCTACAGGGCTCAAAGGATCGAGTGTAGAACCTACTGCAGCCCCGTAGAAAGTGACACTGCACCCAGAAGTGGCCCATGATGACCACGAACTCTGCAACTTGTCCCGACGTGTCGCAATGCACTGCTGTTCAGGGCACCTTCATCTTCTGCATGGCCGCACCTGGCTCGGCTGAGCTCATAGTTGCTTTGGGCTACTCACTGCATGGCACCCAATAAGGTCAGAAAATTGGACTCTACAGCATTCCAGGTTTCAACAAGAAGGCGCCACCAATGTCAAACGAGCCGGGCTGCGCCATTCGGCGCCTGGCCATTAGCTGAAGCCGCCGCCTGTTGGGACATGACCTCCACGATAATCAGGGTTTGAAGGGTGCAGGGTTTGCGGTTTAATGTAGGCGCCTTAATTAGAATAGGGTCATACATCCCCTATACTCCTACTCCTACTCCTACTCCTACTCCTACTCCTGCTACTACTACTACTACTACTACTACTACTACTACTGCTACTACTACTACTACAACTACTACTACCACCACTACTGCTTGACTACCACCAACACCACCACCACCACCACGTCGACCACAGCGATAATGCACTAGTCAGAACGATACTGCACGAGCACATCCCTGACACCACAACTGGAGCGGCCACTGCTGCAGCACGACTACAGTATTGTCGTTGCACTACTGGTACTACAGCAGTACCACTGCTGCTGCTCGCAAAGCCTCCAACAACTACTACCGTGGCGAAGATGGCTACTTCGCTCTCCGAGTCCTCGAATTACTGCAAAAATGAAGGTCTAATCAATGTCTGCAGCTGCTGCATTTTTCGGCAGGCTTACCGCTATGCGCATGTCACCGTGCGTCTCTACTGCTAATGCTAATGGCACTACAGTCATTGCCACTGAAGTATTATTGTTGTTTCTGCTTCACTCCACTCACCACGAAACCGAACTTGTCCTGCTACCCCTAAACCGTAAAGCCCTGCACCCTAAACCTGACAAAAACCCTAAACCCTAAACCCTAAACCCTAAACCCTGTAGCACCCATGGGAGATACAAGCCGAGCACAGAGGCTCGAGCCATGCTAAAGAGCGAGATGGCCACTACCTTGGGGGTTTGGTTTAGGGTTTAGGGTTTAGGGTTTAGGGTTTAGGGTTTAGAGCTTAGGGCTTGGGGTTCAGGGTTTAGGGCTTAGGGCTTAGGGCTTAGGGCTTAGGGTTTAGGGTTTAGGGTTTAGGGTTTAGGGTTTTGGGCTTAAGGTTCAGGGTTTAGGGCTTAGGGTTTTGGGCTTGGGGTTCAGGGTTTAGGGCTTAGGGTTTAGGGTTTAGGGTTTAGGGTAGCAAAATGCCTGTTTGGGATTCCTGTGTCATAGGGTTTCTACAGGTTTCCTTAGAGGTGCCTACCTCTTTGGGGTCCCTTGAAGGGTTTCGGGTTTCGCCGGGAAAATCAGAGTCTCTTGAGGCCCCGAAGGGATGGCGACGTGGGAGCCCTGACTCATCTACTTGTTCAAAGGGGGCGGTTCAGGGTTTAGGGCTTCGTGCAGGGTTGTGTGTTTAGGGGTTTAAGGTTTAGGGTTTGGGGTTCAGGGCTTAGGGTTCAGTGCAGGAGGCGTTCGGGGTTGGGGGTTAGTGCAGGTGAGTTCAGGGCTTAGGGCTTTGGGTGGCAACTGTGAGGCCCTGCAAGAAGACGCTGCAAACACTGGAAGTGCATCCAGGCGACTAGAGCATCGAAGAAGTTCCAATTCTTGTCATCTTCGACGAAGAAGAGGTATCCTTCCGATCTTCCCAGAAAACCCAATACCCCTTAATTAAGGAATATACCTTAAAAATTATAGGGGGGATTCATATTATGATTTAATGTATGTTCCTTAATTAAGGGGTATTGGGTTCTCTGGGTTGCTGGCTGGTAAGCTCCGCAAGGTTTGGGTTTAGAGGGATACCCGTTGGCGATGGTTGGACGAATGAATGCTCGCACTGGCTGTCAATTTCAAAGACCAATCAAAGAGTGATCCCAAGACCACATGCTGGCACGCCTTTCTCGAAGATCCGTACCTGAGAAGGCAGCAGACAAGGTATGTCGGCAACAATGATATGCACACATGCTTGGTGTCTTTGTTCAGGATTGGTGGGGTTAGAGTTCAGAGTGTAGGGCAAGTAAAGCCTAGGCACCAAGAGCTCGAAGGTGAAGAGCACGGTGGTGCAGTCGTCGGCGCTCTTCCAGATCCTTGGCTTAAGAACTTCTCACCAGGCTCCTCTCAGGGTTTAGGGTTTAGGGCTTAGGCTTGAGGGTTTAGGCTTGAGGGTTTAGGGTTTAGGGTTGAGGATTTAGCCCTAAACCCTAAACCCCAAAACCCTACACCCTAAACTCCAAGCAAACTTGAAAGGGGTCCTCCTCGTAAGGATCCTATCATGTAGGGTTCTCTATTCGGCTCCCAAAGTTTTCTGAAACTTTTGGCCATGGGCTACATTTCCGGTTTAGGGTTTGGGGTCTTAGGGCTTAGGGTTTGAGGTTTAGGGTTTACGGGTTCGGGGTTTAGGCTTTAGGGTCTCAGGGTTTAGGGTTTAGGGTCTCAAACTGAGGTCCTGACCAACCCGGACCGATGCCCAGGGACTGGCAGGCCATGATGACGGTGGAGCCACCTCACTTCGCGCTGGCGCGAAAGACAGGCCAGGGCTGGATGAATCCTGAAAGCGAGCACAACATGCAAAATGACGAGGACCAGTCCGCGGCAAGCCGTCAATGACAAAGAGAGAGAGCGGGAGACACAGACCGACGCTCCGCCCCCCCACACGCACACACAGTCATACTTATACGGATTATACACTCTTACAGGCGGACACACGTGCACACAAACAGAGAGCCCCAGGCCAATCAGAAGATAGCCAAAGTTCGTCCACCTGCAGCAAGACACCGGCATTGGCATGGAATCTCATGAAGGCTGCCAGGTTGCAAAAAGGCTCATGCATGGTGGTGGGGCGGACTGCAGAAGAACTAAGGAGCCCCAAACCCCAAAAAAACCCAAGAGACTCAGGCTACAGGACAAAGATCCAGCCTGGTGCCCTGAACGTTCAGGCACGTGGGCTGGTACAGCGCCTAGCCACAGGGATCAGGGCTTATGACTCGGGATCGGGAAATCGGGCCATTTAAGGAGTTGTGCAGATTCACGGGGACACGTCGTTCGCAGCTTGAGCTTTGGGCGCGATGGCGAACTTCTTTGCATGGCTTCTGCGGTTTTAAGTCGCTGGAATGGTCGCGCTGCATTAAACCAGCAGCTGGATTTGTCGGTCTTCCGGCCTAAATCCTGAACGCCCTCCATCGAGATCCAAGACTCTCTCAAAACTCCCAAGGCCATGTCAGAATAAACCTCGACAATCCTGCCTGACCGCCGACCCAAACATCTGCCCCAGCCTTCTGAAGAAGTCAGTCTTTTGGAAACAGACTTCTCAACCACTAGGAGCCGAAGTTCCACAGTCCTACCCAAACGGATTTAGTGTAGAAGCCTACATGATTACCTATACTATTTCGGGGGTTCCTTATTACAACTAAAGTATAACATACCCCCAAACCCTATTCTAATTGTTAAAGCCCCTATATTAGACTCATAGGAGAACAGACTCCTACGCCAAAGACTCTCTGACCTCGATCTGGTCTTCCTCTGCGACAGCCATGGCTCACGCCTTTGCGCCAGTTACAGGGTTCTTGTTAAGGGATGTTTAATCTAACTTAAGTTACCATGATAAAGAAACCATGTTGTTTACTATAGATCCAGTTATGGGAACTGGGAACTTGAATTAATTTACCCAGGTCAGTGCTGAACAACTCTTTCGAGTGTAGGGCTTTAGGGCCCTAAACCCTAAACTCTAAACCCTAAACCGTTGTGAGTTGAGACTTAAAGGCCTAGGCCCTCTAGAGTTTAGGGTCTGTAACATGGTTTTTGAAGCTTGCTGGCTGGTAAACCCTGAACCCTACACACGATAAACTTGCAAGCCCCAAAACACTGCTTTACAGGGGTCTGATGCGCTACCTGATCCTATAGAATACCCACAACCCTCTTCAGATGTTCCATACAGTAAACCTTAAACCCTAAACCCTAATCCCTAAACCCTAATCCCTAAACCCTAAACCCTGACCTTACTCAGCGTTACCGAGGCCACGGCACAACATGCGCCCCAGGGCTCACGGCCCGGCGCCCCCCAGCGGCACGTTGCCCAGGGGTCCAGGGGCTCCATGCAAGGAGGCTGTCCAAAGGTTCCTAACTTGATACTTAGAATAGGTTTAGGGGGGTTCCTTTAAGGGATTCCTTGAAGGATTCTATAAGGGCTGCGATAAGTGTTTGGGGTTTAGGGGCCTTAATACTTAGAATAGGGTTTGGGGGGGGTTCTTTTCAGGATTCCTTAAAAAGTTCCATCAGGGCTACTATAAGAGGAAATTTCAAGAAGTGACCTGGTCTCCGTAGTCAGGGTGCATCACGGGAATACTATAAGAGGGTTACCATACTATATGGCTTACCAATCAGGGATGTTATAATGAGGGTTACGACAAGGCTTGCTACAAGGTTGCTAGAAGGGCTACTATAGGCAAAGTAGTCGGTGGTGCAGTTGAACACTCGAGGGCATCTCCTGCTTCGCGCTGCACGGAATCTGTGTTTGCGGCAGGCACCCTTCTTCTCTTTTGCATCTGAGACTTGAGGAGGCTGGGCGAGCCGAGAAGTGTCAGATGAACGTGTTCTATCGTAGATCACGATATATACAAACACAACGCAAGACAAGGAAAAGGGTCAATCGTTGCGGCGATATGTACTTGCAGGTACATATGCAAGGTATGTGTTATGTGTATACATATATATATATACACACACGTAGTCAAAGATATGGAGATAGAAATAACGATAGAGATAGAGATGGAGATATATTATACATGTATAGATATATATATATATATATACAGATATGTATATATATATATAGAAATATGGAGATGCATGTAGATATAGACAGAGATAGAGATAGACATGGACACAGAGATGCTTCTTTCGCGTAGCCTCCACCTGGAGGAAGACTCGGAGTTGACATCTGCACCCCACCTGGTGTCTTCGCCCTCCAGCACCAGAGCTAAAGATGCCCGGTTTAGGGTTTAGGGTTTAGGGTTATGCAGTGTAAATCGAAGCTCTGCATCCCATGCAACGCACGGAATTCCCCGCCTTTTTCCGCGACCTGTGCCGATCTAGCTTAAGCTGCCGTCTCATGAGATCTGGGGCAGCTTCACTGACTCCGCGTGAAGAGTCTACATGTGTCAAGGCTGCGCCAACAACGAGGGAAGACTCTGATTGAGAGCAATGCATTTATGGCTTTAGAGTTTGGCGGCTCCTAATGTATACGAAACCGAATTGCCCGAGATCTCCATGGCTTGCTTGTGCCTGCACCTCCGGCAAACTTGAAAGGCTCTGGAGGCGAGGATACAAAGCAAAGTCGCTCTTAACCGAGATTACTTGATCCTTGCAGATGTGCACAAAGGCTCTTGATCAAGCACCTAACATGGGAGTCCTCTCGCTGGCCTTACTGCCCTAGGGTCATCTCTGACTTCAAGACATGCTTTTACTCCGAAAAACACCGGCCACACTAAACGACTCAGAGTCTTGAACGGCTTCTAAGAGGAAGCTGATATCTTGAGCATGCATCTTACCACGAAGAGTCTGGGATCAAATAGTGTGCCTGTGCCCACCAAGGCTTCATCTACTCCGGCACTCACCGTCCACCGTCGCGGGGCCGAGCCCACATCGCGCGCAGGGGTCTGCCCTCGATGCTCAGGCCGCGGGCCTTTCCATGTAGTAGTATGTATATTTACATGTACATGTATATATATATATATAGAGAGAGGGAGAGAGATACACTTACACTTAGACTTGCACAAATACTTATACTTATGCTGATATACATACAGTTATATTTCTACCAAAAACATACGTATGTACCTGTATAGTATATATACGTGTATATGTATTTGTATATATATATATATATACGCACAGGTATGTTGTATAGGTATATGTATAAGAGTTTGTATAGGTATATGTATAGGTAGTAGACGTATGGATATAATCTATAGAATATATATATATATATGTAATAATATGTATATGTATGTATATGTATGTATATGTATGTATATGTATGTATATGTATGTATATGTATGTATATGTATGTATATGTATGTATGTGTGTGGATATGTATGTATATGTATGTGTATGTGTAAGGGTACATGTATGCTTATATGTGTAGGTGTAAGTATATGTATACGTATACGCATATGACTGTATATGTATATGTCTATATACGCAGGAAGTCGGCTCGCTTGGGTGCAAACCCTGAAGAGCCTTGAGCAAAGGGAAACCGCAACTGAATCCCAAGTTCGACAAGGGAGGATGAAGGAAGATTCCCCCCAGCACAACCAAAGATCCAAAACCCTAAATCTTACACAACCCAACTAAGCCTTACGAAACCCTGCTAAACCCTAAACCCTAAAGGCCCTGAAGATCAAGCAGGTGTTTGGACGGTGCACTTCAAGCATGGGACGACTCGCTGCCGTTTCAACTGCAAGCCAAGGGGTTTAGGGCAAAGTTTAGGGTTTCTGCGTGTATGCTGTCTGTAAGTTCATAAGGCTTTCATGTTCCAAAAAGCCTTTCGGTCGCTCGTAACCCCACAGTTCCTCCACGGGCCTGCTCCACAAGCCATTTTGCATCGCAGTAGTTCCGAAGTCGGACAACGCAGCTGCCGTCGTTCTCCTGCGCGAACGGCAACTTAACACAGCCATCAACACCGACTGCTAGGCTAGGCCTAGCCCGACTTCAATGCTGGGCGATGGACCCCAACACCTCAGCATTCCCCTCAAATCTCGTCCGGCCTGGCCAGGGCGCCGGGAATGGCGAACCGTCAGGCCACCTTCGGCCCCACCTTTCAGCGGATTCCGGAAGAGTCGAGGCCAAGTGGCTGTAAGGGGATTCTATGACCAAATATCTCGACTCCTATCTTATTAAAGTGGTAATCCCTAAACCTCAAAAATCTATACCCTGGCCTAAACCCCTAAACCCTGAACCCGCGAACCCTAAACCCTAAACCCTAAACCCTAAACCCCAAGCCACCGTATCAGATGTAAGAGCACCCCTCTCGGAGCTGGGGGCCCGGCGATGGAGCTGGGTCTCGGAGTCGAACTTGAGACCTGGGCCAACCGAGGCTTTTGGGGTTTGGGGTGTAGGGTTTAGGGTTTTTGGGGTTTAGGGGTTTAGGGGTTTCAGGATTTAGGCCGGGGTTTGGGATTTTGAGGCTTAGGGTTTAGGGTTCAGGGTTCAGGGTTTAGGGATTGTCGGGCATCCTCCAGAGTTGGTCCAAGGGTTCCTTGAAGGCTTCCTGTAGGGTTCAGGGTGGTTGGGGGTTTGGCGGATCCTTGGGGTTTCAGAAGGGTTTAGGGTTTAAGATTTGGGTCTACTATAAGGGTTTGGGGTTATAAGGGTTTAGGGTTTTGGGTTATACGGGTTGCTGTAGGCGTTCTGTACCCCCCGCGCGTTAACCCTATTTGGCCCGCAATTAGGATCGAAGAATCGAATACCCCGTGGCATAAGGACCGTTTATGAAAGAAGCCACCTCGGATTCTCAGAATTTCAGGGCACTTCGTTTGGGAGTCAGTCCCTGGGCTCCGCGCCATCTCGGTTCCATAGCCGTCGCAGAAGATCAAGGATCTGAGGTTGAGGGCATAAGGTTCATGGTGCACGATTTGGTGTCAAGGGTTTAGGGTAAACGGTTTGTGGCTTCGAATTTCGAGTTTACGGTTGTTTTGTGGGGGGCCGGACATCGGCATGGATGGAGGGCAGCAGCCGCAAAGCACAGTTTACACTAACGCTAATCCTTATCCGAATACTAGTACTTGACACAAACAATACAGGTGCGGATACCAAAACTCAGTACTTACTGCTTCATACGAATACGACTACTTATACAAGAATACATGATACTACATACGCACGGCTCATGCTAATACTGAATACTAAGTGCCTAATACTAAGCACTGAATGCATAATGCTTCGTACTTGATACATAATACTGTATGCTTGAACCCTAAACCCTAAACCCTAATCATTTTCTGAACCTGGAGTTTGAAATATCGCGGGCAGTAGGCAAGTCTGGGCCATCCTCCCGGCTCTCGGCCCTCCGAAGCCTGCTTAAAGGCACCTGATCCGTCTCTACCAAGCAATAAGGGTTAAGGGTTTAGGGTTTAGGGTTTAGGGTTAAGGGTTTAGGGTTTAGGGTTTAGGGTTTAGGGTTTAGGGTTTAGGGTTTGGGGTTAAGGGTTCCGTGCCCAGGGTTAAGGGGTTAGGGTTCAGGGTTAAAGGTTAAGGGTCAAGGGTTCAGGGTTTAGGGCTTCGAACGGAGGGCCCCTGATCCATCTCTTCCCAGAATCGGATACCGCTCACCAGCTTGCGCAAGCTTCACGAGATGCTGCGATTCACATCCTATACCGGTACATTGCCTCATCTGAGGTTGCCAAAATGGCCAGGCTCAACAACAAACAAGCTTCATCCACACCCGGTCAACAACTCCCGAAGCCGAAACGAGAATCGCCAGCCTCGGCGCGCACAGTGTGCCTGGGCCGTGCCCGAGACGAGGGTCACTACA